ACGTTGTCCCGCTGGTGCGGGTCCGTTTTCCGGATCGATGATCGCCACTTTGCTCGGTCTAGTGCATCCTCTTTGTTCAGGTCGACAGTTTTCATGTCCGCGTTGATTGTGTCCTGCCAACGTTGTTTAGGTCTTCCTCTGAGCCGATGGCCATCCACTTTAAAATGATACGCCGTGGCAGCGACGGTATGGGGCGCGGCGCGCACGACGTGTCCATACCACTGAAGCCGTCGTTCTCGCATCTTCTCTGCAATTGACACCACGCCCATCTGGACGACATCGTTACAAATGCGATGAAGGCGTGTAATACCCATTGTAAATCGCAGCATCCGCATCTCCATAGTGTTCAGTTGACGTTCTGCGCTTCTTGTGATCGGCCAGCATTCGGATCCGTACAGTGCAACCGGGCGGACCATTGTGCGATATATCTTCGATTTGAGGCGAGTTGGCATGCGTCTGTCGCACAGTACTCCAGTAATCTCTTTCCATCGCGTCCACGACGCATTTATTCTCGCTCGTATCTCATCATCCAGACCACCACCGCTTTGAAGGCGAGATCCTAGATATCTGAAGGAGATAGTCTTCGGTAAGTCTTCACCATTAACTTGGATGGTACCATCGCATGCGTTGGTTTCCAGATATTCTGTCTTCTTGATGTTGAGACGAAGACCATAGCGGCTCAGACGATCGTTCCACATCTGGACCTGACGTTGAAGTCCCATTCTGTTGACGTCTGCGAGAAAGACATCATCAGCATGAAAGCAGAGTCCACGGCGTTTCATTTTGCAGGTCCCGTGTGAGCGTATCCATGACGAGAATGAAAACGCCCACGTTTATGGGGAAGCTGTTTGATAAGCTGGCTACGCATCTCACTCGGCTGCTGGTGTTTGTATATAACATCCGGATCCAGTTGATAAGAGCTTCAGGCACACTATGTTCACGAAGTGCGTACCAGATTAATTGATGAGGTACGCGGTCGTACGCTTTTTCAAGGTCCAGAAAGGCAACATGAAGTGGTTTTTGTCTCTCCCTATGTTTCTCCATGAGCAGACGAGCAGCAAAGATTGCGTCGGTTGTTCCAGAGCCTTTCACAAAGCCGCACTGGTTACTGGTCAATGTCACCATATCGCGTAGTCGTCGGTCGAGGATTCGCTCGAAGATTTTCATTGTATGCGATAACAGGCGGATAGGGCGATAGTTAGAGCATTCAGCAGGATCTCCTTTGTTCTTAAATATTGGTACTGTTATGCTCGTTGCCCAATCGCTTGGTGCCCTGCCTGAAGCAACAACGGCGTTGAGGAATTGTGTAAGCCATGGAATTCCGTTCTGACGCATTTCCTTCATTTTCCAAAACTCTGCAGGTATGTCGTCTGGTCCTGGCGCTTTACGGTTCTTCATGCTGCTTATAGCCTTGGCAACCTCTTCGGTTGTGATCCGAGGGACTGGACCAGCATGCCTTGTGCCTTCTGGAATTGGCGGGTGGGCGAATTCGACGTTGGAGATCTCGCTGAAGTGTTGCTGCCAACGGTTCAGTATCTCTCGTCTGCTGTGCAGTCGTTGTCCATTTGGATCCTTGACGCACATGTAATGTTCAACGTCTCTTGCTGTTTGTGCCCGTCCTTTTGCCAATCGGTATATGTTTTTCTCTCCTTCTCTGGTGTCCAGCTGTTCATACAAGTTCGGTAATGTTCTGCTTTGACTGCAGCTACAGCTTTCTTGGCTTCCTTTTTAGCTCTGGCATAAACTCTCCATTTTTCGGCAGTTTTCTCGGCGAGCCAGTTCTTGTACGCCACTTTTTTTCTCCTTCACTTTTCTGCTTTACCTCTTCTGTCCATAACCACGCTTGTTTATCGATACGATGTCGGTTTGGTTCCGTGCTTCCTAACGTAGTTTTGGCCGCCGTTGTAACTGAGTCGCGGAAAGTTGACCACACTTCTTCGACAGAGCTCCCATCAATAGGAGGGAGATCACAGCTACCGGCAATTGCAGCCGCCTGATCAGCTTGCCGTAGTCTCCACCATTTAATTTGATCGGTCCCATAGACCTGCCGATTTCCTTGTTGCGCTTGGATATCTTCGTATCAGCCACGAGTAGCCTATGCTGTGGTGCCACATGGTCAGATGGGATGACCTTCGCATTGGTTATGCGAGGAAGGTCCCTTCTGCGTACTAGAATAAAGTCAATTTGACTCTCCTGTGCACCGCTGGCGTATGTGACTAGGTGGCTATCACGCTTCTTGAAGAAGGTGTTGCAGATAGCAAGATCATTTGCCTCAGCAAAATCCAGAATGCGTCGGCCATCTTCATTCCGTACACCATATCCATTGTTTCCATGACAGTTGTATCCGCCCTGGGTACTGCCAACGTGGCCATTCAGGTCTCCACAGAGGAAGAGCAACTCATTTTCAGGAACTTCCGCAACGCACTCTTGTAATTCTGTCCAGAATTGCTCTTTTTCCACATCGCTGCAACCACTTTGTGGGGCGTATGCCGAAAACACATGCAGACGACATGCCGCGACATCAGTTATGGCAGAGATGTGTCTATCTGACTTGCCGTATTTCTGAGACTCTGCTGCGCCGACATCAATGTAACAATAGCCACACCTTTGCTGTTGTTTCACCATAGTAGCTTAGTTTGTATCTCCAATATCGCGCGATTTTTGTCCTTTCCATCGTGTCTCCTGTACGCATGCAATGTCCACTTTTCGTCGTTTCAGCATTTCTGCGAGTTCGGTGCTGCATCCTGTTAGAGTGCCTATGTTCAACGTGGCAATGCGCAACTGTTCCACTCGCGGTTGGGCTTTCATCCGGGCTCTCTTCTTTAGCCGGTTCCGCCCTTGAACCGGTAGCCCTTGTTCATTTAACACGGTGGTCGGGCGAACCCACCGCGCGTCGCCTCTGGGGTACGCCCTAGCATTATTCATTGAAATGACATCTCGATCCATAGTTGCGACTTTGAAGTTACAGCCGACCTGTCGCTCGGGTCTGACACTGTTGTCCGTGTTCTGCTCAGCACCACTCGTGGGAGTGGGCAGTCTTCAGCGGCACCTCGAGGAGGAACGCACATCACCGCCCACTTTTGACGCCATGTTTTCGTTTTTTTTTCACAGTTGAAATGAATTTGCATTAGATGACGCGAAAAAACGACTAGTAAGCTAGAGGCGGCAGGACATCGCTTTGCTAGCATAAAACGAGCGGGTCCGGAAAACTCATTCAGAGAGACTGCCATCTCCATAATTAGGGTGTTCTTCATGATCTTTTCGCCTTTAATTACCTTGGAGACTGACTTACAAAGGCCCTTGGAACTCTCACGTTCAGATCGGGCTACCAGCGAAATCAGGAGTGTCGGGAGCAATGATTGTCGTTGTTCCTAATCTGATGGGAATCGCTCTGTTCTCACCGCCACTCGACAAAACGGGCAACCCAATTAAAGGGGTCGCCTTTTGTCAGGTAACTCTAGTGCTTGATGAAATGTGAGACCCTTTTCCACTTGAACGGCAAGATTAATCTTACACTTTTCAGAAGCTCGTCGACAAATTCAGTTTCCACAACTATGACAGTCTTCTACATGCCGATACCCATAAATTAGATCCACGTCGTCAAGTCAGCAGTCGTGACACGGAAGTGGTCGTATCCCTGTTGTTTGCTGCAAAGAACGATGATTTGGAAACCATTAGAAGGTCAGTGTTGCCTAGAAGGGCCATTGAGAAGAATTCGGCTCGGCTCCGCCCATTCAACCAACATGCATTACGCATCTGAAATTGTTCAGTACGCATAATTTCAAGGATGTATCTCCAAGGGGCAAATATGAATGTAGCCGATTATGATGGAAGAACCGCTCTACACATAGCTGCCTCAGAAGGACATGAAAAATTGGTGAAATTCTTCCTCGGTGTTGCAAAAGTCAACCCTTGTCTCAAGGATCGGTAAGTTTGTTTTGGAAACTATGAAAGAAGGCTGACTTCAAGCGACGATGTTCAGATGGGGTAGAACGCCCGTGGAGGATGCACGGCTCTTCAATAAACCGCAATGTGTCCGCCTTCTTGAAGGTTACTGTCCAAAGAGAAGTTGTTCACTCGGTTGGTATCTGGAAGAAAGCGACGACAAAAACACTGAAACCGTCAAGTATGTCATAGCTCTTTTGCTAATTGCCCTTCATCCTGTTTCAGGGCTTAGGGAAATAAGCTTTATTGGCTCGTTTATAGGTATTTCTTAGTTCCAGGTAGTGGCAGCCGTATCCAGTGGACGCAGCCACAAAACTACGATCTTATTCACCCTCCTATTTTCTGATGCCACAGACCATGCTGATGCAATGGGCGGGATACATAACCTTGAAGGTTCCTTCTGCAAATAGTAATCTACTTCCTTTATGAGATATAGGAAAGACAGATGGTGCGGACAGGACTTGCTTCAGCGCGGTCATCGCTTTCGCCATATTCAGGAAAGGCACAGTAAGTATCGACGCAGCCGGGTCCGGCACGCCATCGCATTGTTGATCAGTTTCCTGGAAAATACGATCCCCTCTCCATGCTACTACCATATTCCCCTAGATTTTCCGCAACTCTTCACCACTTTTCCATGTTTTTTCCCGAAAAATTTCGCATTTTTCTTCGAATCTTTAGCCACAAAGTATCCGTCGAGCGGTGGCTGGGCGCGGGAAGGAGGAAAGGGGGGGGTGGGGGGGGAAAGGTCGTCAGGACTCATTTTCAACTATCGGAAATAGTACGTGCATAGATCTTTGGCATTCCCTCTCCCAACAATGGCCAAATACTACCCTCCCTTCCCCGTTGTGATCATCACAACGATGGCGTGCCCTCGATGGTGGAGAGCTTGGCCCCGCCTACATAGTCAGTGCACATTATGCCTTTATAAACATCAGCATGACTAATGCTGAACACTGCAGCTCCGCTAGTCCTAGATCACACAAACGGTAGCGATGTCGTCCAACCCCTTTCCCCTCCTTCAGCGCGGTCCAGAGCCCCGCGGCATATTTTTGATCCAATTAATACAAAAGACTGAGTAGATTCACCCTACTTACACACTTTTGTTGTGCAACTTTATAACGCTGGAACCCATATAAGACTCCAGCCTCGCGTAGGAATGAATACAAAATTCAAAAGCGACTGGATGAGTCGTTGCTGGTCGCCTCTGTAACCTTTCGGGGACGATTCAAAAGTGAAGGACCATCGTTACAGAATCATAATCTTACGGTAGTATTCCATAGACATGAGAATTCTTTCAGTTCTACGAGCAGCCCCTCAGATGAAACTCTTGACTACTTGCCGGACGTCGAAACAGAGGCGAAAAAACAAGGTGAAAACTACTCGAGAATAAAGGATAAAGCCTTCATCGCTTTTTTGATATGCAGCACGCGTTCCTACTTCAATTTAGAGTCCTAGAAATAGTTTTATTCAATGCGATACGGCCCACGCAGTGACTTGTGGGCAGCAGCCGATGGATGTTTAGTATTCTTATCCTCAGATGACTCTGTTACCAATTCACCGTCCCCAAAAATCAAATACTTTGTCATTTTGGGTGGGAGCCGGTATTCGACCATCGGACCACGCGAGTGGTAAGAGTGCCACTTGTCACTATACTACCTCCGCGTGAAACTAGTGAATTGCTGAAAATTGGAGGTGTTTTCTTGTAATCCTCTTCTGGTCAAGCAAATATTCTCCTCGATCGCGCTACTACATTATTTAGATAGCAGCCGCTTTTTCGTTCCCCTTACCCGTAAGGCACCACTTAGTTTCACATGAGCTTAATAGGAGCCAGCTGGGTCCGTTATTCTGGGAGGACGATGCCGCGTATGGGAAAAAGTCAAGTAATTGGTAATCAAAGTGAAAAAGGGGAACAGCTAATGGAATGGCACTAATGAGATCAATGGCATATTCCATCGCTGTACCAATCAAATCACGAGTTTGTTCATACTTGCCCTTCAGGCACCTTTTCCTTTCGGAAAAATTCCTTACTCCCGCCTCCCCCTCTTCCGCATAACCGCTCAGTGGTTAAATTTTGGGAAAATTTGACGGAATACTCGCTCATCTCATAATCGCTGAAATCACATGTTCAGGCCGAAAGGACGGAAATGATAACCAACCTTCTACTCATAGCTCTTGATTCGACACAAAAGGCAGTATTCCTACCAATGATCAAAAAACTGTGATTATAAGTGCCTCATTGTTATGATAGAAGCACTGTAGGTAGGAAAACGAAGTGAACGGAATTCCACTTTATCGAGTTGCAAGTATTGTACATAGCCCTGTTTCTGATAAACACTTAGTTCCTCGCCTAATCTATATGTGAAAGATTTAGAGATGTTGTGTTGTGTTTCCCGCAACAACTGCCTGGTTTTCGCGGGTATGTGACGAGAGAACCGTAATTCGCCGCGCTGGCGGGCGTCGCGTGCTACGTCGCGCCTGCAAATGATGATGGTCCACGTACGTAGAGACAAACAGCGATTCAGAACCAAAATAGTCGTGAAGTCTACGATGAGGGTCTACATGAAGTCCGGCTGCTCCACAGTCGTAAAAGTCGCTGGCAAGCCGCGGACGGAGCCGAATATTACATTCTGTTGCCCATCTAAGCAGTTTCCGCGGCTTATATCCACAGTTATCCAGAGTTCGCGGGAACCAATAAGTTTATCGTCTGGAGGAATTGAATGTTGGTCCGCGGTGCGACACCGGGCGCAGCCTAGCGCAGTAGTTCCTAGATAGACGACTTGATGCCCTACAGTTAGACTTGTGAATGAAGTTGGGGATGAGCGAAAACGAGTATTTCGCTATAAAACGAAAGACAGTCAAAGGAGCAGGAGATAATTTAATATCACTAAAGTATGCCCAACTTCCAGCAATGAAGGCGAATATCGGCAAAATCCCCTACTTTGTGTTCGAATGAGGCTTCCCGATGGAAAACACTGGAAAATTTGGGGGCGAACCAAAATGGTTTGAATTTCAAAGGTAACCTCAAGAGTAAGAGTAATAGTCAATAATCATAACAGGAAAATAGGAAATAGGATAGGAAAACATAATAGGATAAAAGATAATCAAAATGGGATGACGATCCCTTTAACAACTTGAAGGAGCCGCCACGCGACAGAACTCGTACGCGGCGGCCGCCACGCCGCCGCTCCGCCTACCAGCGCGGCGACCTACTTTTCATCGACGATAGAATCGCCACACACCCCGAAAATACGGCTCCGTGTACAAACTCACCCGTGCGCGTATGCGGCGCGGTTTCTTCACGGCGCCGCGGCGGCAGGGCGGAGCGAAAGGCGATGCCCGCGTCTTCGGCGCTGTCCTCCAATCCAGCAGCTGTGGGGTTATGATTGCCCCCGGATTGATTGTGCAAGGTGTGAGCTCGAGTTCAACGATGGAAACAATCACACTTAGGCAATAAATAATTTATTATCTATGCTAGGTAACAGAACATCAACGAAAAAAATGTAGTAAGAATAAGATGCGAGGTAGATGGTGGAGAGGGCGTAGGGGGATCCGAGAGAGGACCGCTACCGATCTTTCCTGGAGACGAGTCTGAAAAAACCCTCACAGAACTGGTCTCTCCCGCCAGCCCGCCAGATCATAGTGGTCAAAAAGGAGTTCGTGGCACTCTCTGCCCCCTTCCATTGGTGGTCCGCTACTTTGACCTCTGTGAGCTACAGTGCTCGCCTTTTCATTGGCGGTCCACCTCCTTTGACCCACACAGTCCCTTTTACGTGGAAGGAAGAGGAGGGAAAAGTAGAGAGAGGAAGGGAATTGAACAGATAGTGGGTGCATATGTGAGTTAGTGGTAGTGGTAGGAGATCACAGAAAAGTCGACTATCACGAATTACTTCAGTGAATGGCAGAACTGGCGGCGTAGTTCCCTTCGATTGTGAAAAGCTAAGGCTTGGCAAATTGCCGACGGTTGATTGTGGCCTTATAACGCTATAACGTCACGTCCCATTCGAAGGGAATCATTATGCCAGTTCCGCTGTTGACTGAAATAATACGCTCTAATTCTCGACTTTTCTGTATTCTCTGCTCACCATTACCACTAACTCCCCTATGACCGTTCACTATTTGTTCAATCCTCTTTTCTCTCCTCCTCCTTCCACACAATGAGGCATAAAAGGGGTTTCAAATATAATTTGAAGCCACAGTGGCGGAAACGTCAAAGCGATCACCCTTCGCCCGCCCTGCCGCCGCGGCGCCGTGAAGAAACCTCGCCGCATACGCGCATGGGTGAGTTTTCCCCCTCCTCTGCAAGAAGAAGCCATCTGTAATGGCAGCCAAACTGAAAAACCTACGGAATTCACGTCACCTCCAAACAGCTGCAAAACTTCTTGTGTCGCGATTCCCGCGACCTCAGATCACAAGATCGCATGGTCACAACGTGGGGGTCTCAACGCGCGCCGCTACAGTACTACGAAATACCGCACCAACGACGGATGGCCTCAAATCCGCACTTACCTTATGCGCTCGTCTGCCGAGAAGGACCCATTCTCACTATCGCACAGTCTTGCTTTCTGCCAACTCGTCTGATGCCGTCGCGCCGTTTGAGCACGCAGAGCCGACCATCTGCGTAGAGCCAGGATTCAAGGAAAGCAAACTTCAGCGCGCCTGGCAGGCTGTGTTCCCATTATGGCATACGCCTATGGATGGCCACTCAGTGGGCGGTGAGGTTCGTCCCTTAAGACTAGGTCACGGGTTTATTTTGTTTTGTTCATGTTATTGTTGCAAGGCATAATTAAATTGACAACTTGATGTGAGTTTCTTGAAGTTTCCTATGGTCATTTTCCATGCCATTTCTTATTCATTATTAACCGGTGAATCTCCATTAGTTACGATAGTCACGACATCTTGTATCGAGTCACCCATGAACAGTTACCTAGGTACCGGCAGCCTTAATCTGGAATACCTACAACATAGATAGATAGATTTTGGCTAATTAATAATTGAAATACTGCACATTTCTCTTACAATGGAAAAGCTACTTCCCGTCTTTTAGTCATTAGGATCAACCGAATCTGCCTTCCGTTTTTCAGCTATTGGGTACATATAAGAAGGCTTCATAGACAAAACGGCGAATAAAAAAACATTATGACAATTGCGTAAGATTTCGACTCTACACTTCAGATAACATGCACAGAAGAAATAAGAAAAACACAGACAAGACAATGACAGTACAGGTTCGAAGAATTCAATTAAGACTATAAGAACACCGATTTTTTTTTCAGGAAAAAGATCAATACCCACGAAAACAAAAGCTGCGCGCGTCCGACCACAACCCGGGTGTTTCAAATACCTACATGACGCAAAAGTCAAACATATATACAAAATGACTGGCATGGTTTACGTACAAGGCTGCTATGTAAAAAAAATTCTAAATACAACGGTATAATCACATGCATTACCACTATAACCAATACAGAAATGCTGCTTGCAAAGAAAAATTACAAAAATTCGAATATTTTCAAAAGTTGTCTTTGGTGTTGGCTTCGGAACTGGAAATCACATTCGCAGTACTTCTTTGTATGAAGTACGATTAGCTCATTCGACGAAGTCGTTATGTGTACATAACTCGCATTAGATTATTCGAAAAAGTAGGGTTAGCTTTAGAGAACAATTTGTGAGCATACATACGTTAGAAAGCGTCAACTTATTCAAGACGTTCCTTGGGTGGCAGGCGAACAGGCGAGGTCCTGAAGGGACTGCTGAGTGTGTGCTGTGAGTGACGACAGAATTGTTGAATCCACTGGTTCAAGGCATGATGGACATGTGAAAGACCTAAAAGACCATGACACTTGTAGTAAATCGATGGGATCCGGACATATCATCACCATGTGGAAAAGTTCTACAGAATGCGACCCCTTTCAAATTGATTCTTCTGGCATCCCCTTCCCATCCTATGTACCATTTTATCAAACTTTCCAAAAAAGCCTGAAGGGGGTCGACACCCCGATCAAATATCATAAAGGTAATCTTGTGGTGTTCCCAACTAACAAGAGAGGTCTTCAGGTCATGGGGCGCTTTTTAGAAAAGTTGGGCACTATTTACCCTTTACTGCCCCAGCCATCCGAAATCAGGCCAGTTCCTGACCGACTTTTTTCTCCGTGGGCAGAATTTGCTGAAAACTTGGCTCCAGGGGTAGTTCGACCCGCTGAACACGAATATCGCATCCGCTTGACCCGAAACCTCTGTGCCCGTGCCACGGGCGCCGGCGCCAAAATACGAGAAATCACCAAATTCGCTGAAAACTTGCTCGCAGGGATAGTTTGACCCCCTGAACACGAATATCAACATCCGCCTCAGCCTGAATACCTCCTGCGCCCACACGCCCGCGCCCAAACGGTGCACGCCGGCGCGCCAAAATACCGCCAATATCATGTAGGCGCCTGCTGGGCGCGCGGCCCAAGGAAGTTTCCCGGGGTCTGAGCGGAATGTGATTCGTCATTCTGGAGTCAAAACTACCCATAGGACAACATTGAGCAAAAATCTAGCCCACGAGCAAAATAAGTCCGGTCCAGAACATGGCGCTGATATGGATTATGACTGGCCGCAGTAAAGTAAATATTGCGCCCTAATTCGAGTATGCATGGCAAATGAGTACTTTGTCGAACACTAGCATGAAAACAATATCAAGTCAACGTAAAAAGTTCCTTATTCTGCACATGCGATCCGATTGAAGTACGTCATCTGTCGGCGTTTTCTCGAATGTGATTCTCACAAGCATTCCTAACTTGGCGAGCTGGGTGGGCCGAACGATCACATCTTGCAGTACTTTCCACGAGCCACGTTCCGCATGTTGGCGCCAAATGACCTAGGCGCCAATTATAAAGGTCAGAACCGTGATCAGGGCCGTTAATAACCTCTATATACAGACTTTCAGCGGAAATTTTCTCCTCGAGCTGTTCGAGCTATGATGGTGAACTGGTGACTATCAGTATCCTGTACAAGTAGTTATCCAACTTCGATACCTGGACCTTTCTCTTTACTAGTATATACCCTCATAACTAACAACTACAAATTTCAAAAAGGGACATATGTATATGTATTGCACAATATCTACACCTGGAAAGTTAAAGTGGAACCAGTTACGCTGGGTGCGCTGATCGGGTGCCACTGTCAACCAAGTGGTCGGTCCATTATCACCAAAACCTCCGAAATTTTTTTTGCTGGAAGTTCGTATACAGGAGTAATTGGTAGCCCCGCTCACGATTCTGACACTTATTTTATGCGCCGAGGCCATTTGACGCCAGCATGGCGCTTAACAGCCCCTGCGTGCGGGTTGACAACGATTTCAGTGCAAGAATGCTCTTGCAGCAAATCGGCGGGTTGCGCCGTGGTCAAAAATGAGTGTCGTACTCGTGAGTAGGGCATCCAGTCATCCCCGTAGCCCAACTTTCAGCAAGAGTTTCCTCAGTAATGTTTCGAGAGCGCAATAGTTACTAGGGTCGACTCGTGAACTATGAGTGTATAGAATGAGGTCTTAAATGGCATATATCCATGTTATATACATCATCACGCACGCAGGAACACAAGGAGATGGAAATCCGAAAAATGCAAAAGTTTGTCGCCGAGAGGATTCGATTCACAAACCCCTTCTCGATAGCCCATCGCACTATCCACTCCGCCATCCGCCGACCTCTTTTTAGAAACACCTCATAATCTCTCTCAAATTTGCAGCTACAACAGAGCCCAATAAGCCTACTCAAATCGCCCTTTCTTGTCAAATTGTTTTCACTCATTTTTTGGCATTCCCATAAACGCATAGCAAAAACGAAACCCATTTTTGTGACCCTATGGACCCCTACAACGTGCAAACAGGGAAAAATGGGAAATATTAACTACCAAAAAGAATTTCCTCATGGCAAAGTATGACACCCTCGCTCCAGCGGCGAAACGTGACCACCTCCCTGCCCCAGGTTGTGTTCCTACAACGGATAGCGAACCCTGAGTGAGATTGATAAGAACTTCTTCGTATAAAAAGGTTTCCAAGAAAAAATAATTTACCCTATAGAGGAGCTCATAATTCAAAGCATCTAAATACAGTAGTATTCAAAGACACGCTACACGATTTCCTGGCTGAATCCATCCCACGTGCCGGGTGGACAGGTTCGCAACTGTAGAAGTGTGGCGCATAGATCACCC